AMAKWAMMTTAMMYTAAMCWWMWCACTAAAAACARGATGAATCCTAACCAGGAGTTAGTGGAGGKAGAATAAAATGGGGTTCATGAACAATCAAACATAATGGAAACACCAAGCATGTTTTTCACAATCTTTTCTTCCCATAGACACAACTGTAGATGAATAACAAAATCTAATGGGACAAGCAGCAGCAAGAATTACATCGTAGCCTACTTTTCAGAATCATTGCCTCAGCAGACCAAGAAAACTGCTCTCCCCTAACTTTTAGGGTCAAGATATTCAAAAATGCAAAAAAAAAAAATACCCTCAATTTGCAGACTCTAATGAGCCAATTAAAGGTCACAGGAAGCACAAAAGGACCTATCAGAGCATATTTGCAATCCCTGCAAGCCAAGAGATGTTTTAATGTAAACTGCTTGTCTGAAGATTGTCAGCAGCAGAGGGTGGAATCTGCAACATCTGTCATGATGAGGGGGGAAAAATACCATCTAATTATAGACTCACATAGACATTGATAAAGCTTGGGGCTGCAGCATTTGCCAGCAAGCACTGATAGATCTGTACTGAGCTGACCTCAGTTTTCAAGCACAATTTAACCTTCTAAGAGCCAAAGTGTGGGGTATTTGAGTTGTTTGGCAGACTTCCCAAAATAAAAATTAAATATGAGAAAATTATACATTATTGCAGTGCAAAATGCCCCAAATACACATGAATTAGTGTAAAAACTCATGTGAGTTGGTAATTGGTTTTCAGTCTCACTCTTTTTACTGGCTGAAACCATTTTATCTGCTTTCTGATACAGAGGCCATGTGAAAAAAGTTTGGAAYAGGCTCAGTTGCTATCCAGGTTACATTTTGATAGAAGAGTTTGATACCTTTGCAATTTATCCCTTCCTGTTACAATTATATTTAAGCTTACCATTAGGAAAAGAATTAATAAATACAAATAAACCAATATATAAATATGAGGCCTCTTTTTGCAATGAAAGGCATGGTGATATAGGATTTTTCTTCATGGCAAGAAACAATAAACATGGAGCAGTCTACCAATTTGGACTTAAAGRGATAAATGAGTTTTAAACTCTTTCTCCTAAAAAGACCACCTTCAGCATCAGAATGCAGGTGGATCACATCCCTTTGCTTTGTGTCCTGGGGCTGTTTTGTCCTGCTGGAACAAATTGACCACTTAGAAGGGCTGGTCTCCTGCTTGCATTTTCTTCAGCTGCCCTTCCCTGTGCTGGAGCACACTCAGCTTCTCTCTCCTCTACCTGGTCACTTATTTTCATTAAAATTCTAGTAATTAGATATCCTCTCTCTGGAAGTCTTCAATGCCAGGTTGGACARRGCTTTGAGCAATCTGATCTAGTGGATCTCTAACATCTTTTCCAACCTAAACCATTCTATGATCCTATGGGYCTATGAAATGTATAGTGTAATAAAAACCTTTGAGATACCTGCTCTTCTTTCAGGTACAGTCAAATTGAATGAGTTGAGAAAAAGTTTATGGCAGACTGACAAGTTGAGATTATATATAATCCAATATTTCACCTAGGTTTTTCTCCTCGTGCAGATTTGCTTAATAAACACCAAGCAAATTTAAGGGATTTCTAAGTTTGAAAGGAACAGGAAGGTTTTACTTCAGAAATTCAGAAAACTGAAAAGGAAGTCCACATAAGCATCCTTCTCTCTACTGAGATGTTGAAATGATCGGACATTTTTGTTGGTTGGTTTTGTTCAAAAAAGGAAAACCACAATAATGGCAACTGAAAATGAAAGCAGCATATTGTGGAACTGAAAATTTGCCTTTGCAGATTGTTTAAGATTGCTYTGAAGAGGTGATTTTGAGGGGGATTTTGTGCTCAGCATATGTTTTTTTCCTATAAATAATAAAGAAAGACCAAGGAATTGTTTAAAGGTCACCATTGTCCAGTAGTTCCATTTTAACTCTCATCTGACCTACATCTGCTCTGCACCATTATTCCTTTTTCATTGTAGAGGAATAGAATGGAAATGGTGGGGATCAGAATGGCTGTAGCCCCATTAGGAGAAATATATTTTGGTAGCTAGTGGAGGAGCAATAGTATGTGTCATACTCCCAAAGTAATCCTGGTTGCATACATCTGAATCAACCTTTTAATAATAGGCTTAAGATGCATCAATGGAGATTTCAGCAGGGAGAAAATAAAAGGAAAGAAAAAAACTGTATTGTGACAAGGATAGAAAAAACTGGGCTACAATACTAGTGAAGCTTTCAAAACTGCTAATTTTAAGACCATTTTAGCCAAACATCTGTAAGAAACTGTTTGGATAACAGTGAATGTGTTGGGATCAGAAGATCACCTGAACATTTTTCAAAATGTCTCCCTCTCTTTTCTCCCTCTTCTCTCTAGAAGAGAGAAATTACAAGGCAAAACAACAGAAAAAGATCTCAGCCAAGTACAGAGTTCAGTGGTGCTTTCCACTGCCTTTTCATGTCCAGTAAAGACAGATACACAAACARCATTCTCTCATCAGGCAAGGAAGGAGAAGGGACCAGGCATGTCATTTCACTTTCTGATTAACTCAAAATTTGCAGTGGAAGCAAGCACTACTTTTCCACCATTAAAYTGGATTATGAGATCTTCAGGGCTCCAAAGTGTCTGCTCAGTTCACCACCTTAATCTTACCTATCACTCTGCCTACATGCCCAATACCAAACAYTCATAACAATTACCACCACAGCAGCTGCTTCTTACCTTACAAGGATAACAGTCAGACATTCTGGGATCCCTGAGTTTAAGTGCAACAGAAGTTTTAAGAACTACTACAAATAAAATGCCACTGTAGAGCATATTGCAAAGAATAAAGCCTCAGTCTGTTTTCCTCAGTGTCATCTCATTCACCACTACAAGCTTTCTACAAGAATTCCTTCTTTCACTGAAATGCCAGTTCATCCTACCTGTGCTGAGCAGACCCACAGGAGCATCTGCTGTGACCTCTCCTCTCTTCAGGCTGTGATTATTTCAACCTAACTCCACCTCCCCTGCAATGCTACTTATTTGTTCAATTATTTTGGTCAAGCCCTGGTTCATCACACAGATTTTKACTAAAATTAAAAGTAATAAAAACATATTTCAAATTGCTCGCCCATTGTGTTTTAATCACATGCAATTAACAAAGTGCTTTGATGGAGTCCTCACTTAACATTCCTTCTGTCTCAGTGACYTTAGTGTAACTGAACATCTGTTTCACTCTTATCTTGCACTGAAAYGTTTTAGACAGATGTAGCTGTAAAATGTCAGTGACCTCAAAATTCAAGCTCTTAATTCAATTATTCCTATGAAACCKATAGTTTGTGCATAATTAACTTAGAAAGAAATGCAGTCACATACTGATTTTTTAACACTCCCARCAGAAATCTTATCAAGAGAGCACATACAAAAAGCCATAGCAACCTGGAGAATGGAAATTTCAATGTCAATTGAACTCCTTTCCCTKAAGAAAGAAAAAGTGATCTGAACCTATTATTGTGCAAAACTGAAAGGGGTCTCCCGTGGGCCTTTGATCATTATGTATGTCTTAATTCCTTTCCCCAGTCTTTTTGTTCCTGATATGTGCACTGAGCAAACTGAAAGGAACAATCTGTTACTAATTACTCAGGTCCACTCTGCCSTCCCTCCCAATACAGCTGAATTCCAATGTGTGCCCACAAGGAGTAGCCTCACCAGCKACCAGACAGACCTGGAAACAATCCCCTAATGCTACAAACTCCTGAGTCCCCATTTCCATCACCTTTTCTGCCTTCCCATTTCATGMACCTTCCACACCAGCCCAGGTACAGTGTGTAGCCTCTGGTAGTGTCCCTCTTTCTGCTGCAAATATTGTCTTTCTGTAACCCTAAATGGTCCCTTTTACACTAACTGCAAAGTTAGCAGGCGTAGGACAAATTGCCAGAAAAACCATGCACCAGGCTGTGTGCTCTGCTCCCAAAATTTGGTTCCTGCTCCCTGAACCACAGAGTGCCTCAATAAGGATTATTGCCAATGTGGAAAGTGTGGGACAGGGGAACATGAACTCGTGCTGCCTATCTGCACTCAAGAGAACCACATTTCTTCAATGCCATCATACTTGGCATTCAACTGCCTCCTAAAAGCAAGGCTGAGCAAAGCTCTTACAAGGTGATCATTCCTCCGTATCTCTGGCACTGCCTCACCATCTCTGAGGGACTGAAATTGCTTCTAAAAAAGTAATAAGAGTTTGGCCATTAATTCAAGTGGCAGCAGGATCAGCTTTGGCAGTAGATTTTCCCTGCCATTGATAAAGTCTGCTGTTGTTTTTACTCCTGCATTTGTTGACAAACACACACACCCCCAGGTAAAAGATCACTCAGGTACCCCTGGCATTGGATGCACTGCATTAATGATTCACATCCAACAATTACCTGCCCAGTGTACAATTTTTTTTTCCATTTATATAGTCTTTACCCTTCCCTGAAACCTAAAATTGGATACTTACTGATGCCAACAGCTGTAATAAGTTTAATCGCAAGTTCTGGGATTTCACACTGCATAAAGAAAGGCTCCAAAATGTAACGTCCAAATGCCAATGATATCACTGCTGTGGCAGCAGGGCTGCAGTGAAAAAAACACAAAGCCACAAAATCAATCTGCAATAGTACATCAATATTATTCTTACAGGATCATGCTATGACTTCACTATCACAGAACTGTGAAACTTAATTTTGTTGCTTGTAGCTTTGCTAACATGTACCATGGTTTCTGATTGTAGCACTACTCAGTGGTTCTGATCTTGACAGCAACATTCCTTACCAGGGTGGCTCTTACAACTTCCATGTTGCAAAGCCATCATAATCAAAAAGGAAAATTATCAATAGAAATCTTCATTCAATCATTCGAAGCAAACATAGACAGAATTAGATTACATGGGCAAAATCTTGAACAAAAGTCTGTGAATTTTAGTGGCCAGGTATATCTCATGCCCTCAGAGACACAAGCAAATTAATTTCATTCAAGCAGAGAATTCTGGTTTACTGAAATAGGTAACCAAAACCTATCCAGGTCTTTTATTAAATTCTGAGACAGCTGAAATGGGATTTTCTAAAATACAAACAGAATTTGTTCCTTTTATTGACTAACAATTTCCTAGCACTGGGAGAGCAAAAATCCCTGATGTATAGAAAGCACCTACCATAAAACAAAGGAATATGAAGAAAGACATAATGTTTCTTTATTTGGACAGTTAGTGTTTTTCATAGCAAGAGTTAAGTTCTCCAGCACCCCACAAAGTTGTTGCATTTACAAATTTGAAATCCTCTTAATATTCATACAGCCTTTCTCTTTGAGAGAAGCTAATTGTTTGACAGAAGCCTTAGMACTGACACACACTAGCAGCAAATTAGTTTGTGACTGCATATTACAGTTCATGTTCCATTTGGGAGGATATTTTCACCCTTCTTAGGACAGTTCATGGCATATGCACTTTATCACACACACTCTAAGACAAAAGGCCACATGATTCTCAAAGGATTTCTGAGTTGAACAAGAGACCACGCAAATTTCTTGGGAAAGAAGTCTGAAGCATTTAATAAAATATACCTCTCTTCACAGAATTTTGATAAAAATTCTATGGAATGGGGTAAAAATTCTACAGAGAAGCTGTTGTTCATCTAACAGTAAAAGAATTTTCCACAAGGGTGTTGCACCCTGGAAACAAAACCCACTTTCTTCATGTTATGACTCAACCCAGAAGTCACACACTGTTGGACCAAGCTGCAGAGCAATACAGAATAGAAATGCCTCCCTCAGAAAGTTTCTGCATGGATGAGCAAGGGCTGCTGCACATGCATCTCCCTGCATGGTGATGTTCCTCACTGGCCAGCAAATGGTTTTACAAATTTTGTCTGGATTTCCATAGATATTTACTGACTTTAGCTCAGTGCAATATTTCTAATTCATATCAGAAAATCTCCAGACTTAGGATTTTTAAGTACTGCAGCCTGCCARAAGTAGTTTTGGAATGCCCAAGATCAGATGAAAGATCATATCTTTGGAGCTGTCCCAGACTTTTTTCGCCAGTGGCAGCTCCTTCCCCCAGAACTTGAATTTTGCCCTCCCACTTCAAGGAAAAGCCTTTTTAAAGGAGCAGTCACTGCTATCCACACCACTGCGTTTCTAAAAACATAACTCCTAAATTACACCTCTAATAAACAGCTCTGTCTCTCACGTTCCCACATCTTGGGGAAGATGCTGCTGGCAGTGCAGTCAACCAGTGGAGGTAGAAGTTCAAAGAATGGAGCAATGTTAAAAAAATACACAGATGGGGTGTTTAGGGACACAGTTTAGTGGTGGACTCAGAAGTGCTGAGTTAATGGTTGGACTTAGTGAYRTTGGAGGTCTTTTCCAACCTTAATGATTCTCCGTTTTTTGGTGGGTTTTTTTCCCACTACAATACTACAGGCAGGATGGCAGCCCTCAACATCTGTGTGTTSAGGAGCAGGTAAAAAAGTGCATGGCCAGCTTTCACTGAAGGGCAAGGATAAAAGACAGGGCAGGACAGTGTCCCAGCACATTCCACAGGTGAGTCAGGCACCTGGCAGCACACGGTCACCCAGCCCGYGTTTAGCAACCAGCACAGTGAAGCTCTAAGGATAATGCACTCACACTCTTGTCTTCACTTGTTTGAAAARTAGTTGTTGAGGGTTTTTTAAACGTATGTGAATATATGTAAAATACACAAGCAATCTGGATTTTGGAGAGAAAAAGGTTCACGCTTGCACTGAGTGAGAAGCAGTACAGTGTAACACAGAAAGAATCAGCAGATGGGCAGAGTTTATGTCCTCCTCTGTCAAACAGTGGCTTTACAGAGATATATGAGAGCAGGAAATGTCTAGTTTGGTTGTGACTGCTCAACCAGCCARTAAGTGTGATAATCCTGCAACTTTCCAGAAGAAAAGCCAGTTTAGCTGAGAAGTGTCTGTGCAACTTCATCTGCTGAATAAAAAAAAATAAACACTGAAGGTCTCAACTTCTTTGATAGCAGCAGCTAATTAGTTTCCTGATGCAGTAGTCAGATATAAAACCCTACACAAAGTTCCAGCAGTGCTGCTCTGATAATCACAAGTTACAACATGTATGCCTTCCTCGCTGCCTCTCGGACTGGGTGATTAAAGAATGCACTGATGTTCTCTCCCATGCAAGATGATTATCTTCTGGGTGTGGGGCAGATCATGATGACTATGAGCATTTTCACTACACTCCTGGGACRCTGTCATATGTTAAAAAATAATTATTTTGTCAGGAGAGGAATTTATGATGCGTGGTTTCTTGACGGTGTTTGTGCCTAGGTTAATAAGGTGCCTCTAACTAACAAGGTGTAGATTAAGAGGGGGATTTCAAATATTGTTCCCTTTCTGTGATACAAAATGCTAGAGCTGTTCACAGCACCATGAAAACACAGGTCTCATTCCACTGYCTGATTTTCCTTTTTGGCAAAAGGTTCACACAGTTGGGCCATCTGCCCTTTCATCGTGTTTGATGGGAATTACGCAGTTAATTCAAAGGTTACATTTGGGTGGGGAAGTTCTGTGRGACCATCTGACATACAAAGTTATTTCCTCCGGAAACAACATAAGGATTTATAGATTCATAATGACTCAGCACCGTCAGCACTTTTAAATTCAAAAGACTATGCTAGAACTTGTCAATGTTATGTAAACATAGTTGTGATTCRAAATGAGGCTTGTGCTTTGGTGACTAATCTGCTGATTGCAGAAGAGAGRGGAAAGAAGTGCTAACCTGCCCGAGGCAGGGATGAAGCATTCATAAAGACATTTTATATAAGTGACTTGCCCTGTTCTACATGTATCAAGATCTCCAACTTCAGCAATACTGAGGTTACAGTAAAAATAAAAATAAAAAGTTCAAAGGGCACACATGAGTTTGATACAATGATCCATTTACATTATGAAAGTTTATTTTATATGATTCAACATCTTCATATTGTAATYCTTCTATATAATGTCAAAGGCTGTGCATGAGCAGGTTTGCACACCAAGGCAATACAATGGACATTTTAGGTATGTGAAGACATATTGTTTCTTTATTTGGTCAGTCAGTGCTTCTGATTGTAAGAGTCAAGTTCTTCAAACCCCACAAAAGCAAAAAATGAGGGCCCAAGCTGACATATAAAGCACACATGGTACCCCTAACTCAGAAAACTAATGGGCAATAGCTTCATTAGGGGTTATTCCTGTATCCACAGACAATAGCAACTCCTTCAGAAGACAGTGCCAAGACTGAGAAAATGTAAAGGTGACTTCCCTCTTTCACTGTACCATATCTAGGTAGGCTAACAACATTATTACTGMCATTAATGGAAATAGTAATCTCAGCAAAATTAAAGCAAGTAATTGAGTTTTTGCAGCAGGAAGTTTTCTTATTCCCTCCATAGATGCACACGTGTCTTCTAAAATGTTTCAAAGCTGATGAGCAAAACAGCATTTTTAAACCCTCTAAAGCAACCATACTTAAAGAACACAGTTAATTGAACAAAATGTTATTTCATTAGTTCTGCCCAATGTATATAGAAGATTTTTCTTTATGGCTGACAAGTGCATTGCCATCAAAAAAGGCAGAGAGAAGTCACAATACACTTACCGAATGATGAGTAGTTCAACCCAGACCCTCACAAAAGCAGGTAAGGGGCCAAAGGCCTCCAGGATATAGGTGTAATGACCACCAGATTTCTTAATGCATGTTCCTAGTTCAGCATAGCAGAGGGCACCTGTGAGAATTAAACAATGGCAAGATGAGAGATATTCAGAAACACCTTTCAGAACATTTATAGCCTAAACAACAAAGCTGCCACAGTATCACAGCTATTTTATATATTTTTTTTTCCAATTAATTTCCTAAGTTTTAATTCATTCAGCTAGACATGCAGCTAACCAAACTGTGAATTTATCTAGTTGTATTTAAAGTCCTTGAACAAGCTATTTGCAATAAGTGTTGTTACTCCTCTGCATTTTGTGAAGAGGGACAACAAAACAAGGTGTCACACAAGCCACTCTACTTCCCAGGCAGACAGACTGCACACCTAAATGAAAGATTTCTGACACATTTCCTTGTTATCAAAGGCCAGTCAGCTTCTTTCAGCCTTAGAGATGCCTGGCTCAAAGTCTGAATGTCTGCAAAATGTATTACATCTCCTCAGCCACAGGCAAAAGCAACCAAATGGCCAAAATTTGGAAGCAGAATCTGCAGAATAAGAATTTTCAACTGTACTCCCAACATCTCATATACAAAACTCAAGGGATTGTTTAGTCCTGGCTTGTCAACTCTGGTATTTTCATATACTAAGAAGGCAGTGAAAGGTCAGGAGCCATCAGTTACAAAGCTGGGGATTCCCAGCTCCACATCAATAGTGTTCCACATCCGATAAATACAGGCRGACTCTGAGAAGTGAGTAATAAAGRGTAATAAAGTTTGTAAGCACTGCATCACACAGAGTTAAGATCAACAGCGTACATGAACTCATTTCAGCTGTGTTCTTTGCATGTTTTTATGCCACTGAATCGCCTAAACCWGGCCMAGAGACACTTCAGAGACAAAGTCAGAGAAGAGAGTATTTGCTTTATTCGGCACCTGGAGTGTGTGGGGGATTGCTCCTTTTAACATGCATGCCCAACACACATACAGTACAGAATTAAGGGTTAAATTCATGAATATTCATCACATTCCTTGGGATAGGAGGGATTATATAAACAATTTTAGGTAAAAACTACAGTTTTCAAAACCATATCACATGTGCACGCACATTAAAGCTGCACCATCTGATCACAAATTTCAGCCTTGTTCATTTGCTTTGTTTCGGGCTTGGCAAAAATRTGGCAACTTTTATCYACTATTCTTCAKTTTACCTGAAGGAATCCTTACAGCYATATCAAAAAAAGCTGTTTCTGGGTTTTCTTTTGCCAGCCTCTTCTGTTGAGGTTCAGGATGAAATGAAACTGTGTTTCAATCCGTGTTATACACTCATCCTCAGCAAGACCTTAGGTGACCTTTGCATGTGATTTAACTATAACTGAGTAGGGAATTTAAAAAAAAAAAAAAATTAAAGGGGCAAAAATAACCAAAAAACAAACTAACTATAACAAGTCCATTCTGAGAAAAAGATACTATCCTTTGCTATGCCAAATTACACAGTTCTTCATATCTAGCGGTCTGGAAAATGACATTAAAAATCTGTCTGATAAAAGACAGGGGTTTGTTGGATACTTTTGGAGGTAGTGGGGGTTTTTTGTTTGTTTCTTTGCGGTTGTTTTGGGGTCATGGATTTTACTTCACTTCCAGAAAATTACTAATAGTGAAGTTACAGCCATAAATGCAGTCCCTAAGCAAATTCTGGGTTGAGYAACTCAAAGGACCAGACAGAGGTTTATAGCATCTAGGGTTTTTCTTGATAGGGGAATTTTGGTTGCAGACAGAACATCCACATTTCTAAAAGAGATTATGCTGCACATTGTACCAGTACACTTAAAAAATTGACCCAAATGGGTCCTAACTTACTCAGACTGTTTGTTTAGCCTGGGTGGGCTTAGCCTGTAAAGAGTCCGTATTTCTTTTAAACTCAGAGCCAATTTACACAAGGTGGCATTTGCATGTTCCGCCTATTAAGCAGACACGTTAGTCCCTGTTTGTTCTCTTCACCTCCTGCCAGTAAACAAGTAGTTTCTCTTTCAAATAAAGCCAATATTCTTTGAGATTAACTCATTAAATAGGTCAATGAACCCTCTGTCCCCACAGCGGCCAGGGTGGGGTTTTCCACTCTGAATGAGGGTTTTGTGTACAGAACAACTTAACCGGACTTCTTCAGAATTTAACACTCTTCAAGAACACAAAGAATTAGTAAAAACTCCCACGATAAGCGGTCCAGMGATAGAACTCCCAGGGCAAATTTGCTTCCATCACACTGGTTTTTTGTGKTTTTGTGCCCAATCTTTCAAAGCAACACCATGAGTGAGAAAGGAAGAAAAGAGCCGGGAAGAGGGGTTATTAGTATTATTGTTTTGCTCCCCTTCATGCCGATACAGCTGACGTACAGTAAGACTTATTCCTTTCAGATCTAGCTCTAGCCTCCAAGGCACTAAGCCGAGCTGTCTAAACATTTCAGCATGCCCATCAGTGCTCAAGCAGCATGCCCATGCAGCTGCTGGGGGCCTCACTAGCAAACTGTAAAAATGCCCTACAGACAGGAGAAAAATATGCATATAGCACATTCTGTGGAATAAAATGGACATTTGCTTTTCTTGTTCCTYTAGGGACCCATAAAAAATAATTTTTGCTTTTAACTTTCACCGGCTGGTGCCAGGAGTGGGGGGACAGGGGCTGCAAATCTTTGCACCTTCCACAAGACCCGTCCCAGCACGGATTTTCTGTAGCCCCATTGGTGCTCCAGCTCCGCACTGTGACTTCCTATCCAATAGTAAAATCAGAGAAATAATCACGATAATCCACCAGCYGCCCCTCTAGACCAATTAGAAACTTTTCAGCGACTTACCAAAAAGTGAGAGGATACCACACACTGTCCAGACAGTCAAGGACATGCCCACGCTGCCTGTGTTCTTCAGGATGCCTTTGGGAGAGATGAAGATGCCAGCTCCAATGATCGTGCCAATTATGATGGATATCCCCCTCAAAAGCGTCACTTTCTTCTTCAGCACAACTTTTTCCTCCTGGGCTGGCTGTCCACTGTCCATAAAAGACAACTTGCCATTAGCTTGTCCCTGCAAGTAACTTCCATTAGAGACCGTGGGCACAGCAGCTTTCCTAAACATGCTACAGTGCCACCAGCACACTGCTGGCAAGCACAGGCAGAAAAGTTTTCAGCAGAAACTCAAGGGAGTTTTTTTTTGTATTTTTTCTCTCTCTATGTTGCCAACTAGTTCATTTCTTGCTCTGTCTTCTCTTATCTTTCCAGCTGCTCCTGTGCACAGGTAAAGAGTTTGTGAGCCCTTGGTGCAATCCAAGCCCAGCTCAGGAATACCTGCGCTTTCACYCTGCGAGCTGGTACTGCCCTATCATTGGAAACGAGCTCAGCTTCCGCATGGACTTGTATTTAAGCCCTTGTCATAGCAAGTTACTCCAGCTGAATGATGATGCAAATTCTCCAGGTTTGCATCAGCCATTTGAGAAACCTCTGGCATTACTCAGCATTTCTTTTTTTTTCTGTTTGTTTTACTTTTCCCCATTTTTTTTTTCCTTTTTAAACCGTAGGAGTGTGTTGTGCAACTGACCTGAGGGTGGTGAGAAGAACAAAGCACTAGCAAGCARTTCGAGCCAAACCTCACCAATCAATCCAAACACATCAACCTCGACACCCCGAGACACACTCCCAATTTTTTTTTTTTTTTTTAAACAACTCTGAGCCAGAAACAAAAGCCTGCCTAAACACAAAGTTCGTCAGAGCACAAGGGGAAAAGAAACCAAACAGGATACGTCATCCCTGGGTCTAATCCAATTTCATTCTCGAAAAACTCCTAACAAAAGTTAASTTTGCGGGGGCTGAACTTCTGGTGCCGCAGTTGATCGGTCTCCCACGTCCATGTCACTTATTTGGAAATGCCTGTAGGGTCCAGGACCGACGTAAAGGATCCATACAGCCCTCTGTTACCCCGAGTTGCTTAGCAACACCCCCCAGTCAGCCTGGGGTTATTTCCCCGGAGCAGGCATTTTCATAGGCGCAGCTGGTTTCTAGGATGTCAGGAAGCAGCASCGCAACACCCCTTCTTGTTAAAATACCCTGCAAAGGTTTACAGCCACCTGGTATGTGTGACAGGGCAGGGCAACACCCCAGAGCACGGATCTCCAGCAGCTCAGGAATCAGGATGGGAGCTTTTTGTTGTCCCGACCAGATAAACAGGTAATCAGACSCGTAAATATGCGCTTCACCTGATCATTCAAATTCAAACCGAGCCATTAAAGTGTTAAAAAAGAGGTGCATTCTCCTAAAACGGAGCAAAAATCAATAGCCTTCAAGCACTTTTGACCTAATCAAGGGACAGCCTGTACRATACATGCCAAAGGGGAAAAATTCTTCATGGTATAACTATTGCAGCTGCTCACGGCTTCAGATTAGATCAGTGGAGTGAGAAGTTATTGCTGCAGTCACTGCTCTTACAGGTAGTGCTTAATTAGTACCTAGGTTTGGGGGCAAAAATAAGATCAGTTAAATCATTTTATCGTTCAAAAAGCAGACGCTGAGCTCTGAGCACAACTGTGCTTTCAAGTTTATGTGAGAARGAAGAAATCCTGGACTATCAACATGCTGCAGCTGTAAAACTTCAGTGTTTTTAAAGCCTCGTATTTTCTGTTATAACTCACCCGAATAGCTGGCACTGAAATAAAAGAAGGCATAAAGAGAGCTTATGTGGTTTAAATGCACACAGGTAAAAAGGAAAGTGATTGTGGCTTTTGACTACATAGCAGACAAGTAGTGCTTTCCCGTTTTCTGAACATATCCGACTTCTGCTTCCACCTACKGATGTGCTCAGCATCTGATCCCTCACGGATTCCTGCACAGCCCACATGTGACTGCCCAGACCGACTGCAGACAGCACCTTCCCACAGCTCAAACCAAGCCAATTTCCATGGCACTGCTCACAACTAAAGCCAGGACTACGAGGCATGCTGTGCCAAGTTGTTGTCTCTTGATGTACGTTCCGCAGGCTGACCCCCAATAAGTTAAGGCAACTGGATCAAATCAAACCAGAAAAAAAAAAAATTACCCAGAGAACTCAGCTGGGCTGGTGACCTTCATTTTATTTTTCAAAGGCTTTTAAATGAAGAAACATGTGACATCTTCAAACATCTGATGCTTTGGGGTAGACATTCTTAAATAAAGTTTACACTTTATTTACYCAGGAAGTTGGTTCCAAGATCAAAAACAAAAGCTCAATAAAGAGACAACCCCGAGGCAGCTCCCACCAACACAGTTGCAACAGCCATCCGGTACAAATGCTGAGCAATGTAATGGCTTTCAAATATCATTTGACTGCTAGCCAGAAGAATATATGTTTGCCCTTTGGGCATGGCAATTAACACTCTCCCACACAGGAAAAATAGTGCTTGCTCCTTCAGTGATATGGAGATAGCATGTATGCAAAGCTTAGGACCTTGTGAAATTCCCAGGGAAATTTATAAGGTAGAACCCGAGGAAGGATGGATGCAGAAAACTCCTTTTCCTCTTTGAGTACTCTGCTCTCAATGCTATCCACTAAAAATAAGAAAAATAGGAGCAGTTTTTCTCCTTTGAGTTCCAGCCATGCTTCCAATTATTAGTTCCACTCAGGGTAAGGAATACTTATTTGGTGCTKGGGGATTATTTGTTATATTCTGTGAATTTCACTGAGAATTATCYATCACCTGATATCCAGTCCTGAGGAGGGCATGAAGCTGGAAGAGGGTCATAACATTTGCTGACCCCATTTATAGTATACTCACAAAATCTCTTCGAATTATTTGTATCTCACCAGCCACTTTGACTTGAATTATTCATCACAGAGCAAGGACCACTWTGCAAACACAATGAAAAATGCTCAGTGTCTTTTCAAAGAGCTTTTCTGAAAGCAAAGGGCTTAGCCTATCCAATACTCAGAACATCCCCATTCTTCCATAAAAACTCATTCTAAAAGCACAACAAAAAAGTATAAGGTGCAATTTTCTTTAGACTGATGAAAATATTTGAAGCACAGTTTCTAAAAATGACGCTCTGAAAATAAACCTTCAGCCTCTAATGGCARCTGGCATTGTGCATAGCCTTTTCTTTTTTCTCTCTGGTAGGCTTTTTCCCCAATTCTAGACATTTTCTTCTGGACAAACATTTTAGAGCATAACCGAGATCATCACTGTGAAACAGTTCCTTTTTTAATTTCACCATCAGCCCTGATCAATCTATCTACTCTGTTTGAAACACAAATCCTTTACCAGAAAAGCCCACAAGTCCTACACCTACACCCTGCAAAGAACTAAAGCACCAGCCAGAAGATTCAGGTTTCCTGAATATCATCAGAGGGCTTTCTGAGCAGGACCTGTCACAGGGAATAACCTTCCTGCCAACTGCACCTCACTCCTCAGTGGATGAGAGCATCACAGGGAATAACTATATCTTASTACCTCAGGCTGAGCACACCTGACACTGTCACCCCCTTTTATCACACTAGCACAGCTTGTGCCAACACTTGGACARAGCTGTATCTTTCCAAAGAAGCCACAATTTTGATATTTCCCCTGGGAAATGCTACAAAACACACACAAAGCAATCACCTTTATGGTAAAGCTACAACAAAGGCAGCAAAGTTCAAGCCTGAACTTGAGTTCCCACTTCTCAAGCCCGCAAAAAAACTCTATAATTTCTAGGTGTAGCAAGCATACCTTGACAATCCTTGCAGGCATTTGTCTATCAGCATATTGCATCAAACAAATCCAAAGAGTCACAAGTCAAGCCTCCAGCCACATATTGCCACGCCGACTGGAGACACAGAATAAAAGTGGAAGTACAGCAAGACTGAAGAGGCGAGGAAAGCCCCAAAATCTTTTATGTGGGTGGCATGGCATGAAAAACGTTGTTTGGAAAACTGATCTGAGTCTTCTGTGTATAATGCAGAGTTGTTTGTGAGCCTCAGAAAGCAGCCCTGTAGAAAGGCAATCGTCTGGTTTCAAATGTCAAAGGATGGCATAATACCTAAAAGTATTTGTTTCATGTAGATAATCTAGCACTGAAAAGTTTTGACTGGGGATTTTAGCACCTACTGTAGTCTTGGGAAGGAGTTTAAGTGGGGGAGGGGAGCAACTAAAAGTATTTAAGAACTAAGATGTCATTGAGAATAAATCATCACAAAGTAACAAAAACTCRGCAGATTGGGACAGGTTTGTTAAGTTTTAATGCAAACATAGAGTTGTGAGAAGGTCAAAACACTTTGTTACCTCTACTACAGGTCAAACTTTAGTTAAAATRGAATGACTGAGAATGGTGGGGGAGTGTTATTTTGCAGTCAGGGTCTTACAAATTATTCCCTTAATTATTTTGCATTCCACTTTGTGCTGGATACAATGATATTTAGCAGCAAAAGGAAAAATGAGAAGGAATGAAATGCACATCCAGCTCACAGGTTTCAAAAATAAGATAAAACCTCTAWAAGAAATCCAAAAGCAGTTTAAATACTTTTTCTTGTATTCTCAGTCAAATRCTTTCAACAAAATGCAGGAAGGAAGTAATAATCTGGTATCAAGAAGACTGCAGACAACAGCAGYTTAGAAGGCAAATGGTTCTGAAAATTTCCCTGTCTTCAGTTTACTGATAGCTGCCACTCAATTTTCAGCTGGAAAAGGAGAGGGGGGAAAGGGATTTCAGAAATTCCTCCTTTTTTCTCACTATTAAAGCTCTATTTCAAAAGACATGATGAATTTGGCTGAATGGTTTGGCAATTTAATGGGTCTTTTGTAAGCAGACGGGAATCATTAGCACATGGTATCAAGCATGAAAACTCCATGAGAGAAAGCCAATTCTTACTGAAGCCCTGTGTAAATAAAAATAGGAGTGTGTTTTAAAACCCTGTCATTTTTAATATTCAGGATATATGTAATCATAACCTAAGCAATGCTGTACATAAATATTATTCTTGARTATTCTGTGTTTACATTTCTCATTAGCAGAATGAGACAACAATTTTCAGAGTCCCTGTGTTATTTTTCCTCAGCTTTTGTATGCGAACACTGAGATACYCCATGGCACTCAAAAAAGCAAGACCTCAGGGGAAATTTCCATTAAAACTCTACGTGGCCAGATACCTGGCATGATGGCAAGAGTGCTGGCAGCTTCAGGGAGTCAGGATTTTACTTGAGATGACTCAGGCTAGGCTGGGCATGTGAAGAGAATTAATTGGCASTTCTGAAAAAAAAAAAWAWTTGAAAAAATCAAATAGAGACMGAWTTAGCACTGAGAATGTTTTCTAACCCATTTCCCCATTTTTTGTATGAGAATTCTTTACAGTAGATAAGAAGTTTATAATGTGAAGARAACACACAACAACTGCATTGATTCTCAAATTTAAGCTCGGCTCTTTAGTTACTCCATATTCACTCTTATTGTRTTTTTCATAATTTATGAAAAATATCTAGTATCATCTCTCCATTTGCATTGCTTTTCTATTTGATCAGGTACTGAACTTTCTGGGAATCATGGTTTTCCACTC